ACTCTAGTCTCTAGACTGACATCATTGCTCTTCAGTATTCTGGAGAGGTCTCTGACAGCAGATGTTCCCAATGCAATTTGTCTTTTGATTTCCTGACTGCTTGTGCCTAGAGTGTTTCTCCATCTGTAAAGAATGATCCCAAAAAAGAACACTGGTGGTATAGTCCATAAGGTACTGTGTTTCCAACCAATAGAAGATGTTTGCTTGAAAAGAAAGTCAGAGCATATGACTTGTAACCTCATTTATCTCTCAGAATCAAGGCTAATGTTTTTCCAATGATCAACAAGTCCAGTAGCCAATGAAAGCCTGCCTTTATTTACTTGTATACTATTATTTTGTGTGTGTTTGTGTGTGTACTGTCAAATCGGATCTGACTGGGACAGGGAGAGATTGACCATCCTTTTCCAGCAGACCATCTGGTGTATACTATTATTTTATCTCCATTTGTTCATAAATTCAACCTCCACATGAACAGAAGGTTGGAATTTTTTTCTTTTTTAAAAAAATTTTTATTGTTGTGTACTGTGAAATCAGATCTGACTGGCACAGGAGGAGATTGCCCCTCCTTCTCCAGTGGAGCATCTGGTGGATTCGAGCCACACGCTTTTGGTATTGCCTGGCGGCATCTTGTCACTAAGCCCTTGAACTCCTGGGACAGAAGGTTTTATCTGCTGTCAGCGGTCAATGAATGCTTGTTGAATGAATACATATAGAATATGATCTTGACAGCGGAGAAACTGGAGGTATTGGAGCTGTCCAAGTGAAAAAATATGTGACTTAGTATCAGGAATGTAGTACAATGTCATTCAAAGCCTTTTATTGCTACAAATGAGTTGGATTTGGTGACCTAATTTATGCTGAGGATAAGGACTAGGGTGGGAGGAAAGAGAACTTACAGTTTGGTCACTGAGACTGGTGTAGGAGAGATGAAGTTGAGCGAAGAGGCAGCCTACAGTGTTTGGGTTTCCAAATGTTGAGTTTAAAAAGAAGATGTTAATAAAATGTTTAGTAAGCAGTCCAAATGACTCCTTTTTGACAGCAGCCTAACTGAGAATATATGTAGTCTTGTATCATTACTGGTCCTCTCAGTTTAGTGCACTGGCTGCTAACTGAAAGGTTGACAGTTCACATGCATCCCCAGATGGCTTGGAAGATCCCTAGGAATATACTGTTGTGGTATGAAGCTGATCAGTTTCAACTAAAAAAAAAAGCAAAAACAAATCACCAAACTACAGGACAGAGGGGAGCTGCCCAATAGGGTCTACGGGAATGCGATCTTTATAGGAGCTCTGGGGGCCTAGTGAGTAAGAGGTTCCATACACTATCAACTCAAAAGCAGACAGTTTGAAGCCACCAGCTTCTCTGCCAAAGAAAGATGGCTAATCTCCTCTCATGTGATTTACAGCCTCTAAAAATCCACTCGAGAGTCAGCCTATGAACTGGCTCCAACTCAATGGCACAGGACAACCATCTTCATAGGAACAGCTCACCAGGATCTTCTCCCTCAGGGGGTTGTTGATGGGCTTGAACTGCTGACTGTCTGACTAGTTGTGAGTGTTTTACCCATTGTATCACCAGGGCTCCTTCCTAGCTATGTTGTTGTTGTTATGTGCCGTCAAGTTGCATGCAATTCATAGTGACCCTATGTACAACAGCCCTAAACACTGCTCTATCCTGTACCAACCTTCTTGTCTCTGACACACCTATCCCCATTACCCCAGTTACTAAGTCAATATATCTCATCAAGGGTCTTCCTCTCTTGCGCTGTCCCTCCACCCTCCCAAGTATGACGTCCCTCTCCCAGGACTGGTTCTACTTTGCAACATGTCCAAAGTATGTCAGATGAAGCTTCAGAATCCTTGCCTCCAAGGAGCAGCCTGGTTTCACCCTCTCCAGGAGTCCATGGAATATTCAACACTCTTCTCCAGCACCACAGCTCAAAGGCATCAATTCCCTTTCTGTCATCCCTAGTCATTGTCCAGCTGTCTGATGCATAGCAAGCAATTGCAAAGACTACGGCCTGGATCAGGTGCACCTTAGTCTCTAGACTAACGCCGTTGCTCTTCAGTGCTTTGGAGAGGACCCTGACAGCTGACTTTACCAATGCAATTTGTTTCTTGATTTCCTGGCTGCTGTTACCAAGAGTGTTGATTGTGGAGCCAAATAAACTAAAACTGTTAACAATCTCAATCTCTTCACCAACCATAACAGGCTTCCAATTTACCCAGTGGTGAGAATCTTTATTTTCTTGATGTTGAGTTTCAATCCATATTGAAAGCTGCAGTCCTTGACCTTCTGCAGCAAATGCTTCAGGTCCTCCTCAGTTTCTGCAAGGAGGGTTGTGTCATCTGCATAATTCAGGATGTTGATGTATTTTTCTCTAATCCTGATACCACATTCCTCCTCATAAAGCCCAGTGTCCTGGATGATCTGTTGTACATATAGATTGAAAAGGTTTGGAGACAATACATCCCTGGCAGACACTTAGCTATAGACTTTTGAAAAACCAGCCTTTGAAAATCCTGCAGATCTTAGTTCTACTCTGAGTGGGAAAAGAGCAAGGTCTACATGGGAACAGCCACATTGGACCTTTACCAATTTCACAAAGGGTAACTGTCTCTGTCCTTGTCAATAACATTAACAACACAAAGCTAAGGTCAGACATGTCTCCCACACTACCACACCTCTTTCTACTCATCCCAACAGCAATCTTGCTGCTTTGCTGTGACCAAAAATCCAATATGATAACTCACAAACCACAAAGAACCATACTTGAGAAGTCAAAAGATTATAATCTTAGGAGCAGAATCTAGTCAGGAAAGCGTCCAAAAATGTACTCACAGGCACCCTCAGCCTTGAGCCTCATGGCTTTAGGCCATTGTTACAAAGCTCTCAATCCTGACAAATATGGCTCTCCAACAAATTTGGGCAAAGGCTCTTAGCTCTGGTTCCATGGGGCAGCAGTCCCAAGACCAGTTCCGTCTCATGTTGGGACCCTGGTTCTCCCCTGGGGCTGCTATGGTTGCTGCTCCCATAGACCCTAGGTTGGCTAGCCCAAGAATCTTTGGCCCCAAAGGGCGTGTTGCATTCTCTTCCTTCTTCTTTACTGGTAGGTAGTAAGGCCTCTCCACTTCTGTTGCTGGACCCAGTCAGTTTAAAGGTGAGACTAGCCAATCCCCTTGTGATACGATTGTTGTTGTTCTTAGCCAATCCCCTTGTGATACGATTGTTGTTGTTCTTAGATTCATTGCAACCTTATGAAGAAAATATCTAAACCCTACTTTAACCTGTGCTTTTTTCACACTTCCTGACACACAAGAGCCCACTGTGGCAGCCCATCAGTCCACCTGGTCAAGGGTCTTCCTCTCCTTTGCTGATCTTCCACCTTTCCCAGCATCATGTCCTTCTGAAATGATGTTTGTTATTATTTTTCCTCATTTTAACTGACTTCCAATCTGCCCTCTACCATTACACTACTATAACTATCCTCTTTCCTCTAGTGTTCATAGGGTTTTCAAAGGCCTGTTATTTAAGAAGTGGATGTCTCCTGTTTTCTAGTGTCTTAATCTGGAAGCTCTAGCAAACACTGTCTAGCATAGGCAACTCTTATGACATTTGACACACCAGTGGCACAACATACAGTATCACAGCAACCTCAGGTTATCTCAGTACAGCAAACTGACACACAACTGCTGTACCACTTAGAACAATGTTCTCCCCAGACACAATTAACACCAGGCCAGAGGGTTTAAAATACAAAGGCTGACTTTTAAATACAATACAGTATAATCAATATTTAAATACAAAGGCCCACCCACCAGGTCCTGATTGATTTGTGGGCAGGACAACACTCTCTATTTGCATACTCCTGCCCACCCACATGGCAAAGTCAGTTAATGGATAGGGAGGCCATTCTGAACACTACGCCCTAACAGCTCACTGACATTCAGGGAGTCACCACGAGTCAGAATCATCTCAATGGGAAACTAGCTCTTAGTCAGAAAGCAGCTAGTGTGTTTTTTAGGAGCCTGATACAATAACATGCTTTTAAAATAAAGGTCTTGCGGGGGAGGGGAGGAGAAAAATGCAACAAAGAATGAATGGAAATCCAATGAACATCTGCAAATGTTCATGAAAATTAGTAATAATAAAAAAATGTAAATATAAAAAAATAAAGGTCTCCTTAAGATCCCGGGTGGTGCAGTGATTAAAGCATCAGCCATTAATTGAAAGGTGAGTGAGTGATTCTGGCAAATTGCTTCCATAAAGATTTTACAGTCCTGCTCGGCCCTGGAGGGTTGCTGTGAATTGGCATCAGCTCCGGTGGAAATCAGCTTTTCATATTTGTTATATACTGTTGAGCTGGCTGCAATTCAGTATCCTATGAACAATAGCTCTGAACCCTGCCCTGTCCTGAACTGACCAGATTATCTCCAACTCACCTACTCCCATTACCACAGTTACAGTGTCAATCCATATTATCCAGAATCTGCCTCTCCTGCGCTGACCCTCCAGCCTTCTGAGCATGATGTCTTCCAAGGACCAGGACCTCCTGGCCATATGCTCAAAGTATGTGAGACGGAGCTTCAAAATCCTAGCCACCAAGGAGCAGCTTGGTTTCACCCTCTCCTGAAGGGTCACTCTTGGGAGTCTTCCGTAAATGTGGTTCTGACATGGAGGTGCACCACCTGGAGCTGCTTAGAAATAGTTCAGACCTGTAGAGTATCTGTATTTTAACAAGATCCCCAGGTGATACAAGTGCACTTTCTGAAAAGCACTGCTCCAAGTCACATGCTCTGTTTTCTTTTCTCTCATTTCAGGAATCTGCCCAGGAGCCTTTTCAACCTGACACCCCAGAATCTGAATTCTTCTCTGGGACTGTTGTTTCTTGCCCTTCCAAGTACAAAAGCAGCACCCCCAGTTCAACTGGGGAGATTAGAGTTAGGAAACCCCACCTAATACTCTCTCAGCCCTTGAGCAAGTGCCTGTGGAGCCAGGCAATGGATCCAAACTCTGTGCTGCTTTCTCCTCAGTCCCGCACCTGCTCCCACCCGGCAGAACCCTGCCTACAAGGTGGGGAAAGCCCAGCCTCTCAGGACCCGGCCAGAGACTCCTCATTCTCCTGGAGCCATGACCCCAGCTCCAGCCTCACTGACGCTGACTGGTTTTGGGATGAACACATCCAAGCAAAGAGGGCTAGAGTGGAGACCATCATCCAAGGCATGTGCCTCTTACCAAGTCGTCAGGTGCCAGCAAGTGCCCAGTGCAGGGACAGCCTGAGTTTCCTGGAAAAGGCCCGGGAGAGGAAGAGGAAACAGAGCCTTCCCATGCAGCAGGGTCCCCAGAAACCAGGTTCTGCCAGGGACCAGTGCAACAGGAAGGGGCTGGGGGACCTTGGGGTGAGAGAACAGCTTTACCTACTGAAGCGGCAGCTGGAAAACCTCGAAGAACACATCCTTCATGCTGCCGAGGAGCGTAGAGACAGGCCTGCCGAGCCAGGGGACCCAGCTCCGGGCCCAGGGACCTCTGAGAAGGGCAAAGGTCCTCTGAGAGTAAAACAGAAAAGTGTCCAAGGGTCTAGTCCATGGATGAGGGGCAGTGACCACCAGCAGGGCTTCAGTAGGGAGCTTTCTATGGCACAAAACCTCAGAGTGTCTGAGGTCAAGCAGCAATCTGAGGAGGCAGAGGTCCTTCCTGCGGGAGCAGAGGCTTTGCTGGGGCTTCTGAAGGAAGAACTGAGGAGTGCGGTGTCTCAGGCTGTGGACTCTGTGTTACAAAAGGTGCTGCTGGATCCACCAGGCCAGCCTGTTCTGCCTGGTAGAAGCTTCCAAGGACTCACACCAGAGGGTAAAAGGGAGCCCTCCCTTCCTGGGGGAGGTATGTGTAGAGATGGATATCCTCTGGCTGCCTTGCCCAGGAGAGTCCAGCCACAGGCAGGACTCTCTTGGGGGAACATCTCACTGGCCAAGCCCCAAGGTGTTCCTAGGTTCGCTGACTCTCCAAGAACAATCCCCAGACCCTACCAGGACCCCCCAGCAAACTGTCCCCTCACCACGCCTGCCCGCAACCAGGAGAATCTGATTCTTAGCCAGCTACTGGGCCATGGAACCAATGGCTGTTGGAGTAGCAATCCTCCCCAGGACTTGTCTTCTCAAAGTCACCCCTCCTCAGAGTCCACGCTTCGGTCATGGGGAGCGGTCAGACCTCGGCCATCAGCTCTGAGCCCACAACAGTACCCTCTGTCTTTCCCCTCTGCACATCTGGAACAGCTGTCCCTCCTTCCCACAGTAAAAGTGGAGCACAGAGGCCTGCAGGCTGTCCCCGATGCGCTTTCCTTCTCTTCAGTCCACATATCCTTTATGAGTAATTGAGGTTCTCATGGCCAATGTCCAGAGAATCAGGAGACCTGAAGGAGGAGGAGGTGAGAGGGCCAACAACCAGGAGCCTTCAGAATTAGCTTGGTCTCTGGAGGCTGATCTGAAGAACTCTGATCTGCACCATCTTTGTGATCCTTAAAATTCTGATTCATAGTAACTTCTTGTGTGAAAGAGTAGAACGATGCTCCATAGTGTTTTGTTGGATTTTTTAGGGTAAAGATGCTGCACTGTAATCCCAGAGGTGCATAGTTTGAATCCACCAGCTGCTCTGCAAGAGAAGGATGGGCAATCTCCTCCTGTTTGATTAACTGCCTCTGAAAACCTACTGGGTTCTCACTTGACAGTACCAAACAACAAAGGAGCTCTGGTGGCCTAGTGGCAAGAAGCTGCACTACAATCCTGAAGGCACGTGGTTCAAAGTCACCAGCTGCTCTTCAAGAGAAGGATGGGCAATCTCCTCCCGTGTGATTAACTGCCTCTCAAAACTCGCCAGAGGGTCAGCTGTGGGTTAGTTCTGACTCCATGGTGCACAACAACAAAATATTAAAGATAGATTTATTAGAAGGTTACATTCCCACTGGGAAGGATCTCCTTCCTTGAAATACAGAGGAGAGAGGCCCCTCCATAGGGTTTTCAGAATCACTCAGAAGTTCATTGTCAAAGCTGTTCTGAGGTTTTTCTGGGTGGATCCAGTTAGCAGCCAAGAGCATTAATGGTATTAATCACCCAAGGACTCCTTGGCAACTCTTAGACCTCATTACCTTAAATGGTGTTCCTGTAACAACCCTCAGGACAATAACAGTGGTTGAAATTGAAGGGGAAAAAATTTAAAAACCTCCAACGATTGTTGCCCCATAGCAACTGACTCATAGCTGGGTTTTTAGAGGCTGTAAGTGGCATACAAGATCGCCCAACTTTCACCCGCAGAGCGGCTGACGGATTTGAACCAACAGAGGGCTGTGACCTTTGAGTTAACAGCAACACTCTCTTAGTTCAGTCTTCATTTAATGAGTCAAGATCAGGCAGGTATTAGGTGCCCAATCAATATTAATACCAGCAGACCTAATTGTGTTCATTTGAAACCTATACCTACACCAGGAAGCTGTTGTTCAAACAGAGCAAAGGAGCACTGCATGGTTCAAAATGAAGAAAGGAGTGTGAAGAGATGTATCCCTTCTCCTTAACTTTTCAATCCATATGCAGAACAGATCATTTGGAGGCTGGACTTTATGAAGAAGAATGCGGCAATCAGAATTGGAGGAAGATTCATTAACAAATTAGATTATGTAGATGACACAACTTTGTTAGCTGAAACTGAGGAGGACTTGAAGAACTTGCTGGAGAAGGTCAAAGACTGCAACTTTTAATACTGATTATATCTCAATGTCAAGAAAACAAAAATCCTCACCATCAGGCCAATAGACAGGATAATGAAGTTGATAATTTCATCTTGCTTGGATCCTTAATCAACACTCTTGGCACCAGCAGCCAGGAAATCAAAAGACGAGTTGCATTAGGAAAATGTGCTGTCAAGGATCTCTCCAAATTGCTAAAGAGCAATGATGTCAGTCTAGATACTAAGGTGCCTAATCCAGGCCATGGCCTTCTCAATTGCTTGCTATTAGATGGACAAAGACTGACAGAAGAAGAATCAATGCCTGTGAGTTGTCGTGCTTCAAAAGAGTATTGAACATATGGATTGTAAAGAGAACAAATAGGTCTGTCTTGGAGAGGGTGAAACCAGTTTGCACCTTGGAGGCAAGGATTTTGAAACTCCATCTCACATACTTTGGACATGTCACCAGAAGGGAACAATCCTTGGAGAAGGACATCATGCTTGGAAGAATGGAAGGTCAGTACAGAATAAGACGACCCTGGATGAGATGAATTAACACAGAGATTGCCCAATGGGGTCAGATGTGTCTGAGATGGTGAGGGTGGCTCAAGATAGGACAGGGTTCTGAGCCATTGCTCATAATAAGGCTACTATGTGTTGTAGTTGGTTGATGACACATAATAACAACGTATCTCTCCACCCCCACATGCTAGGATGTATAGCTAGAATCTGTGGGGACTGAGTCTTCTTGAGGTTCTTCTACTTTTAATTGAGAAGAAATGTCAGCCCTGACTTTGCCACCAGAAATCCCTAGAAGAAAAATTAGCTTGGGTAAATCTGAGTTAGTTTCTTAACCACAAGTCTTCTCAGAGCCTGTGACGTTTTGAAATCTGTTATGAAGTTCTTAAGAGGCTGACGTGTGCAGCCTCCAAATCTGCATCTTCTAATGGGTAGCCCAAAACCCAGGTGCCAGAGGTCCATGTGTCTATGGAGTTTCAGGTGTGAGCGGTGCAGTCTTGGGCTTGGAATACATGGGATGGAACGGGGTGGGTGGGTGGGGGACCATTCACTAAGCATGGGTCCTACAGGCTCTGAGCGCCCCCTGCTGGCCACAAATGTTATATCTCACACCCCATCCCAAGGCAGTAGGCACTTTTCATTGGTATTGAAATCCCTCCCTCTACAGATTGTCTTGTTAGGTAATAGCAGAAGAATCTCCAGAAGACTCAGTCTCCAAAAATTCTTAGCTAGCCATCCTCGCATGTGGGGGTGGACAGGTATACTAGTGTTTATTGGGCACCCACTACCTGCCAGGTCTTGCCTCATTGAAAGAAGACTGGGCAAAGAGAGGCATAGGCCAAAGGAAGTTGTACACATACCTCAAAGGCCACACCCTCCTGAAGGTTAGAATCCACCAGTGGCTCCTAGTGCGAAAGGGGAGCAATCTCCTCCGATGTAATTTATAGCCTCAGAAACTTAAGGAAGGGGCAGTTATGAATTGGCCTAACACTATGGCAATGAGTCAGTTAATGCTAAGCAAGATTCAGGAGTTTTAGAGGTCCATTCCTAAGAATGACTTACACCACGCCTGGTTGCATGGATGAGGTATCTGCTGCTTATGGAACGAGTTGGAGCCCCAGGCAGTGTCCTGGCCCTTTCACTGTTGCTGCCTATATCCCAGCATTAGACAAGTTTTAGGTCAGAATCACCACCTAAGAACAAGCTGCCTTCAGAGGAACTTCCATACTCACACACCCTCCCTAGAGAGCACGTGGAGCGGGTGTGATGAGGACAATATGCACTGTGCACCTTCTACACAGCGAGCTTAGCTCCATCAACATTCAGCCTTACTTCTAAAAGTCAAAGAGCTCTGAGAATCCTAGCATATCTTTTCCCTAAGATTACTGTTCCGCATATAGATTAAAAAGGTATGGAGAAAGAACACATCCCTGGTGTTCACCCTTCCCAATTTTGAACCATATGCAGAACAGATCACCTGAGAGGCTGGGCTCTATGAGGAGAAATATGGCATTAGGATTGGAGGTAGACTCATCAACAGCCTGCATTAGGCCGATAACACAACCCTGCTTGCTGAAACTGAGGAGGCCCTGAAGTGCTTGCTGCAGAAGGGCAAGGACTGCAGCCTTCAATATGGATTGAAGCTCAACATCAAGAAAACAAAGATTCTCACCACTGGACCAATTGGCAGCATCATGATAGATGAAGAGATTGAGATTGTTAACAGCTCTAGTTGCTTGGCTCCACAATCAACACTCTTGGTACCAGCAGCCAGAAAATGGAAAACAAAACTAATTACATTGGGAAAGTCTGCTGTTAGAGACCTCGCCAAAGTACTGAAGAGCAATGATGGGGGAAAAAAAGAGGAAAGCTGGACAATGACTAGGGATGATAGAAGGAGAATTGATGTCTTTGAGCTGTGGTGCTGGAGGAGTATTGAATATACCATGGACTGCTAGGAGAACAAACAGGTTTGTCCTATAGAGGCTGAGACCAGGCTACTCCTTGGAGAAAAGGATTCTGAAACTTTGTCTGACATACTTTGGTTATGTTGTAAGGAGGGACCAGTCCTTAGAGAGGGATGTCATACTTGGGATGGTGGAGGGATAGCACAAGAGAGGAAGACCCTTGATGAGATGGATTGATTCAGTGACTGGGATAAGGGGGGTAGGTATGTTGGAGACAACAGGAGTGGCACAGGATAGAGGTTTTAGGGCTGTTGTACATAGGATGGCTATGAGTCGCAGGTGACTCAACAGCACGTAACAAGAAGATTGCGGTGAACTTTTTAATCTACTGTTGTTGCGTGTCATTGAGTCAGAACAGACTCATACTTAACCTTCCAGTGAGTTTTCAGAAGCTGTAAATTGCAGTAGAAAAGGCATCTTTTTCCATGGAGCAGCTGGTGGGTTCGAACTACCTACCTTTGGGTTGACAGTGCAGCTCTTTACCACTAGGCAAGGATTAGGCCTAATCACTGGGCCCTATATTTTGCTGGAGGAGTATCAGTATGTAGATCCCAGACTGTGGCTTTATTTATTAATACATGGCACACATGCCATACACCTTTCATGAAAATTCTGCTATCAGGAGCCAGGGCTTTAGCGAAGGTGTCATGGGTCGGTATGATCTCAAAGCCTCCAGCATGTGCTGCAGAATCAGCCATCTGAGTGGCAGGGATAGAAAAGTGAATGAACTCACCCAAAGTCCCAAGAGAACAAGTGCAAATCTAGGATTCAACCCAGGATCTGACTGCCAAACACAACTCTTTAACCACCACATTTTACAGTTTAGAACTGAGGAAACAAGGCTCAGGGAAGGTAAGTGGCTTGTCCAAGGTCATACAGCTGACAGGCGGCAGAATCAGTATCTGAACCTGGGCCTGTTACTCTCAAATCCAGGATAGTTTCTCCAGCACTCATGAAGCTGGAAAGGAACGAACACGTCGGGCTGTGGGGCAGAGGGTAAGGGTGAGGGCTTGAATAGCAGCTTGGGTACTTCTGACAACTCTAACTATAGAAAATTGGTTTGGTTTCCTCCGAGTAAATGCCTTATTGTACTGAGAAGTCATAATTTTCTTAAACTATAGTTCTCCTGTAATGTTTCTAATCTGCCCTGAGGATGGTCCCTGCACCACAAAATCTTCTGTGTAGGAATCATTATTTCCCTCCCAGCCGGTGCCAGGTGACCATATCACTGCTCCCTGCTCCTGCTGCAGGGGAAGGAACCCGTTTAAAGGGTGAGACGGGGTTTGGAGCAGATTTTCTATGTTGTATATGGATTAAGACTGACCATTTACTCAGTCACTCATTCCTCAGGCAACAAATATTTATTGAGCACCTATTATGTTCTTAGCACAGGGCTAAGTACAAGAAATACAGAGATCAAAAGACAAGGTCCTTATTCTGACAGAGCTCACAGTTTAAGTGGGGACAGAAAAGTGCAGTAAAAATTCTAAGGAGGTCATTGTTACAACTGGGGTTTGTACAAAGGGGGACCCCCAAACCAAGCCTAAGCCATCACCATCCAGTCGATTTAGACACGCAATGAGGCTGCAGGACCAAGGAGAACCACAGGGCTTCTAAGACATTAAGTTCTACAGAAGTAGACTGCCACGTCTGTCTTCCACAGGGTGGTTGGTGAATTTGAACTGCCAGTCTTTCAGTCAGCAGGTGAATTGCACTGGGGCTGCAAATGAGAATGAGGAAGGCTTAATGTGTCAAGGAAAAATGCCACAAAAGGAGTGGCTGAGCTGAGCCACAGAGGAGGAGGAAAGTTCTGCCAGACTTTTGGTGCTGAGGTCCAAACTTTCAGAACAAAAGCAAAAAAATGACACAGGAGTCAGAAGCTGGTCAGATGCTTGTGGGCATAAAGCACTATAAAGGCAGGTGGAGGAATGGAAGCCAGCAGGGGACTATGGTGCAGTCTCCTCTCATTTTACAGAGGGGGATATGGACGGAGAGTAGGAAAGTCAATAAATCTCTACTTGAGGTTTCTAAATAGTCCCTGTATGAAGGCACACTCTCACACACACAAACTGCATTTGAAATTGTATCTGCCCTATGACGTTCACTCATCTTTATGAAGTTTGTAACTTCACTCATTGCTATAGAACCCAGCACACACAAGAAAGTGACCTGACCAGGCTTGTTAGAGACAAAACCAAAACTAAACAAAACAAACAAATGACAGTAGGGCAGTTATTTGGACAGTTTGAAAAACTGGCATTTTAACAAGTCAATGCATTTTCCTTGACACTGGGACACATCCAAGACGGCCTGAATCCTGGTCATTTGAAGAAGGCCAAACTCATGTTTTTCTTCACACGCTACCCCAGCTCCAACCTCCTGAAAGTCTATTTCCCTGATGTTCAGGTAAGTCTTGCAACAAGGTTCCAGCTTCTGTAAAACTCTCACGTTGCAGTGGTTTTGGCTCAGATGAGACAAGTCCCAGAGATCGTATTTGTACTTGGCACCCCCCAGATGATTAACTGTGGCTGGGAAAATTCGTTATCTACAGAGTTAAGCTTTTGAACTGTATAAATGGTCAGAAACACGTGGAAAAAGGAGGTAGAGGATGGAGAGAAACCCTGACAAATGGTGTTCATGGCACAATCTCCTGCTTTGCTGGGAATGTTACAAAAAAAGACTGTAGAAAAAGCTGACACTTTCAGATTTTCATGCAAATTCTTGTGCTTCAAAACTTAGCGAAGGGCCATCCACTTCAAGTGTAACAATAAGGAAAGGCAGCTGATTGTAGGAACCAGACCTTCCTGTTCCCACAGAAGCCCTCCTTTCTTTACACTGGGTGTTGGGTTTTTTTTGTTTTAAACAAACCCAATATGCCAAAAATACCCAATTGCAAAGTCAATTTGGACTCACAAAGACTCTATAGCACCAAACAGAACAGTCCCTGGGTTCCCAAGTCTGTAAAGCTTTATGGAAGACACTGCTACATTTACATCCCAGGGAGCAGCTGATGGATTTCAACTGCAGATCTTTGAATTAGCAACCAAACTGCGTTAACCACCATGCCACTGGGGCACTGTGGGCATTGGGTTAAGGACTCCTGCATCCATATTATTCCTTTATGTTTTGGGGTCTTTCGTTCATATTCAGCCTGTAGTACATTCTGTTTCTGATTCATGCAGCATCTCTAGGTTGCTGAGAACATGCTCTCTGATCCACACATGTGTCCCTTCCCTGCCCAGGTAGAACCTGAGCCAAAGACTCTGGTGCTGCCATGACAATGGCCTCGATCCTGAGTCCTCCCAATGTCACACATCATGCGAAGTCTTTCACGGGGTGGGAGGAACCTCTACATAATTGTTTCTTATCTTCATTCACAAAGCATTTTCCAGTGGACACAGTAACAAATTCTGATTTCCCTACGTATAAATGGATAGTCTTGGAAAATAGCCACGGCTGTTTTCTCAAAGAAGCCCTCTTTGATGTTGTTGTTGGAAGCTGTTTTTGTTGAACCAGCGGCAGACAGTTCTGACTTTGATGCATTCATGGCAAAGGTCTAACCTGATGTACCTCTTCTATGCACAGTTCAACCGCTGTATCACCTCCCAGATGATCAAGTGGTTCAGCAACTTCCGTGAATTTTATTACATCCAAATGGAGAAGTTTGCCCGGCAGGCCATTTCAGAAGGTGTCGCAGAACCCAATACTCTGGTGGTTCTCCGTGATTCGGAACTTTTCAGAGCACTCAACATGCACTATAACAAAGGAAACGACTTCCAGGTAAGACTGTGCACTTTGTCCCATGAGGTCTGATGAGTTGTCATCCCTTGATGGTAGCAGTTCTAAAAAAAATGCCCTTTTTTGTCCATCCTTAAGTCATGGAGAAATCAGGGTGGCCAAGCATCACTCTATACATCTCCCACAAAAATTCCAGCCTCAGCATCTTTCTGGAGTGACAGATGGATGCAGCAAACTGGATACACAGCCAGTCTACATTGTGAAACGGAAGGAGAGGTTTGCCAGGTGGCTGTCGTGTCAGACTTGATACTCTTGTCATGATTAAGCTGCTTAAGCTGTTTACTGCCTTTGTGCAAAGAGCCTGGTGGCTAAGTGTGCTCAGCTGCAGCCTCTAGTCTTGGCCTAGGCTTTCTGTACAACCATGGCCTGGTCATCATTTGTTGTTCATCCTTATTCGCACTTGAACAGTTTTATTATCTGCAGGCCTCCCAAGGCAGGTCACTTCAAATCTGCTCCGGATGCAATGCATAAACATTTTCATGTTTTCAATGCATAAAGCTTTTCAGGCCCTCTGGGCTGTGTGGGAAGGTACACTGGTGGCACCTTAGAGGTAAAGCATCAGAAAAGGGTGAGCACATGGCCTGAGCATCACTGCTGACCAAATGAGCTGCTTTCTCTCAGGTGCCCCAACCACTCAGTACTCAGTCTGGCCTCTCACTCTGCCAGAGCCCACATGTCTGGTCACACTCCTCTTTTTCTTCCTCTCACTTTTACTGTGATTACAAAGATTGGTTCATTGCTGTTGCTGAGAAAGGTCTGCAGGTCTCAGCTCAGCCATCTGGTACATCGGACCCCAAGTCTACCTCTAGAGAAAACAGGAGGCCCCCTCTCTGAGGGCCAGTGTGGAAAAGGTCACACTGCATGTTATCTCTGTAGACATGGTCATTTGCTGGGCTGTGGTTGCAGGCAGATCTGGACACTGGGGGGGCCTCATCATTTATGGGGCCAGCCACAGTGAGGTACTCCAGCGAGGTTCTTGAGGCCCCCTCCCAGACAGCTTAGGAAGCGGAGATGATCAAGTCCCTCGGCTCCAGCGCCCAAAGGTGGGGGATGCTTAGTTAGAGGCACGGCCTCCCACATTAGACATTGAAAAGAGGGGCATGAAAACCCTCTTGTGAACCACAGATCTATTTTCAATCAGGCTAGAGTTCATATTCTGCTTACTAAACATGCCACTATTTTTGTACAAAATGACTGGAATCAATTTCTGCTGCAAAGAGCTTGTCCCAGAGAGGCTGTCTCACTGGGTTGTCATTTTAAGGCTTGTATTTGATCAGGGAGTAGGCAATTCCAGGGGTTCCCAGAGCAGGGGTGCTCCTATCAGCCCCAGGAACAAACGGCCATGAGCCGTGAGGTACTTCCCAGCCTCATGTCTTTTCTTTCTTGTGGGTCTCTTTGGGAATGCAGGTCCCAGACTGCTTCTTGGAAATCGCCAGCTTGACACTACAGGAGTTCTTCAGAGCTGTCTCCGCAGGGAAAGACTCAGATCCTTCCTGGAAGAAACCCATTTATAAAATTATTTCGAAACTGGACAGTGACATCCCAGAGATATTCAAATCCCCCAGCTACCCCTAGGAGCTGTTTCGGGGTTAAGGACCCATAAGAGGGCAATGTAAGAGGGACTGACAAGGTTTCCCCGCCTGTTTTAAAGAACAATCAGTAAGCTATGTTGTTGCTGTGAGATGCCATCATGTCTACCGTGACTCACAGCGACCCTACATATAAGAGATCTGCACTTTGCCCTGTGGTGTTGGTTGCTATGCCCCATCGGGTGGGAACCGACTCACAGCTGGCCCTCCAGCGGGTTTGCAGAGGCAGTAAATCACTCAGGAGGAGACTGTCCATCTTTTCCCTGTGGAACAGCTGGTGGGTGTGAACCGCGTGCCTTCAGAGGGGCAGCGCAGCTCCTTACCACCATGTGACCAGAGCTCCCTGGTAGTGTAGAAAAAAGGACACAAAGAGGAACCTGACACAAACAGGAACTATTACTGTTGTTGTTGTGTATCATCAAGTTAGAACTAACCCCCGAGCTGCCCCTCTGGAGGGTTTTCAGAGGCAGTTAATCACATGGGAGGAGATTGTCCATCTTTCTCCTGCAGAGGTTCTGGTGGACTCAAACCACATGCCTTTGGGATTGTAACACAGCTTCTTGCCACTAAGCCACCAGAGCTCCCTACGGTTTTAATACTACTTCTGGCTATGGTTTTTTTTTTTCTTTTTCTTTTCCTTTTCTAGAAGTACATGGAGTTTAATCTTAACTATTCGTCCTGGAAAGGGTTAAACCAGGTGGCTCCTTGGAGGCAAGGATTCTGAGGCTCTGTCTAACATACTTTGGACATGTTGTGAGGAGAGACCAGTCCTTGGAGACCTTGGGAGGTGGAGGGACAGCGCAGAAGGGGAAGGCCCTCTATGAGGTGGATTGATTCAGTGAATGGGATAATCAGGATGGGAGTGTCAGAGACAGTGCGCTTGGCACAGGACAGCAGAGTTTAGGGCTGTTGTATAAAGGGTCGCTATGAGTCGCAAGTGACTCGACAGCACATAACAACAACAACATAAGATATAACATTTAAGTGTACAGTGTGTTGGTGGTGATAGGCAGTTTAGACTCAGAAGACTCGAGGCATCTCAGCCCTAAAAGCTGGGGTGAACGTGCAACTTCCTGGTATGACCACATCTGTAACATGGATTATGAGATGGCATATCCCACCAGTTCAATAAAATGTTACTTATGACACACATGCTCATTTCCCCTCTTTGTTTTCAGATAAGACTGTCTCATTTTAAGTTTCTGCAAATTGCTCCTTTGATTTTAGAAGCTTAGTTATCAAGTGCTACCTGCATGTTAAACCATTTCACACACTCTCTTTAAGCTTTTCACCAACCTGGGAAGGTAATTCTTAGCCTCGTTTTTAAAATGACAACACTGAGCTGTACTGTATGAGTTGTTGTCTTGGCAGATGTTTTAGTGTGTTGTCTTTTCACCAAAACAACAAAAAGGAGGGGATATTTGCAAACTGCGGGGGGTGAGGGTCAGGAGAGACTCCCAGAAGTTCCAGAATGGTGAGGAAGCTCAATAGAGGCTCCCACGTTGGGCAGTCTGGGTTGGTAGGGATGGTCAGGGATTCGGAGGAACACAAGGCTTTTTGATGCTAGAGTGCACACTGGATCATGCCCTATTGCCTCTCCCAGTCTCAAGCAGGTCCCCACCCAGCAAGCTTCCGACGCTGATGGGACGAAGTCATCTGCGAACCTCTGCCTAACACTTAGGAGTGCTCCTTATCCATATTCCTGCTGATCATGTCATGAAGTCCAACACAGAACCTGCAAAACTTAATGTTGCTATTCATTCATATTCATCTACTGGAGGAGTTAACTGAACAACCCAAATACAGTTGACCAACGCAGTTGTTGCCCTAACCTCATATTTGCATAAGAAACTCAACTGCAGACTCAAAAGGCAGAAAGGGTCTTCAGGGGTTGGAGGTCATCTGGCTCAGCTGGTGCAAGTCAGGAAGGAGGAAGCTGAGACCAGACAGGACCCCTGTGCAGCCTCACAGATAATGAACGCTACGACTGCGGCAAACGCAGTGTCGTTCACAGAACGGTAAATTCTCCCTCTCCATAAGAAATTACATTCTGTGGCCAATCTTCCATGGAAGAAAGAATTTGTGAACTCAACATATTTCTTCACTGGCTCAAGACAAATTGTGACTAATTCTGGGCATATAGGCAAAGCTAAGGAACTGCATCTGTCTTCAGAGTTACTCAGAATCCAGCTTTCCAAAGGGGGGTGGTGTATGTGTGTGTGTACACATGCGCATTCTAGTTCTTTTTTTTTTTTTTCTTTATGTGGATAATAGGTTTAAATCTCATTTTATGCTGTATTTTATATCTTAGTTGTGTTTGAGCATTCTAGTTCTAAAGTGACTACAGAGCTGGAGTAAGCATGAGAAAGAAACACACACACACACACACACACACACATGAGAACCCTTTGGAAGCTTTGATTCTGATGAGCTAAGAAAACAGATGTCAGTGATGGCAAGGAGCCCTGGTGGCATAGTGGCTAAAACACATGGCAGCTAACCAAGATAAGCAATTCAAACCCACTAGCCACTCCACAAGAGAAAGAAGTAGTCATCTGCTTCCCTAAAGATTCCCAGACCTGAGAACTCTAGGGAGTTCAGGTGGCCTAGTGGCAAGAAGCTGCACTGCAATCCCAGAGGCACGATTTCGAGGTCACTAGGTGAACCATGGGAGAAGGATGAGAAATCTCCTCCTGTGCAATTCACTGTCTCTGAACAGCTGCCAGAGGGTGTCAGACTATCCTATGGACCGTCAAAAGGACAGACAGACATGTCTTGAAGAAAATACAGCCAGAGCCTTCCTCAGATGCAAGGATGATGAAGCTTTGTCTCACATACTGTGGCCATGTTGCTGGAAGAGGGTATTCCCTAGAAAAAGGACATCATACTAGGAAAGGTATAAGGTTAGTAAAAAAGAGGAAGACTTTTAATGAGATGGACTGACAGCATCACTGGGCTCGAGTGTGTCAGAGATGATGAGGCATAGGACAGGACAGGGTCACTGTGAGTTGTACTCAACTCGATAGCCTCTAACCAAAAGCAGCAACAACCACAGTCATAGCTTGAAACAAACCTTTGTCAATCTAGTTCTGCCGAAGTGGGCTCTGCAAACTGACGGAGCACACGCAGTCCCACTGACTCACATGAGGTTGTCAGAATTGACTCAACTGCAGCTGGTCTGGTTTTTCTATCTTCATTAGCTTACTTCTTCCCCATTCACATAAAACAAAGTTCCATATTCAGCTTCCCCATTCCTCAACTTTCAGGGTGGGGTGCTAGCTAGAGCACATGAGACAAAGTCCTAAATGAATCAACATAAAAGGGAAGAAAGAGGACAACTTCTTCAAATTCTTCTCTTACTTCAAGCAGCCGAGAGGAGAAACAAGACAAAACTCCTTGCCTAAAACAAATATTTTCTGGTTCTTTTTAAGTTTGCTCAACTGAACCCAGACAATCTTAGTCCCATCTTCTCCTACAATGTGCCCTTTACAAAAACAAAGGAATTTGCCAAAGCTAGATTTTCCAAATAGGCAAACGCTGAGAACCCCGTTTAAAGACAGGCAGTTCAGGGTCCAGAAGAACCCACTCTCCAAAGTGACGATGTTGCACAGCTCCACAAGACATTGTTAGGGAACAGCTCCAAATCCTCATGATGGCCCAGTATGGATGGGCCTTGCTTTCTGTCCCAAACCTGAAATTCATTAGTCTGTGCTTTCAAGACTGAGCCAAGCCACCTCCAGGGCAGTGAACCTTGTCCCAGGGACCAGATGAACTGTACTGTACGAGCTCAAATTGAAAACATTTTGTATATTGTCCTCTTTCCAGAAGTGTTTCCTAACCACTGAGCTAAACACAGAAGAATGTATAAATATATGTGCACTGCCAACAGAAGAATTTTATTATATTTTCCTGTTCCTATGAAGTCTATCTCCTTCTTTGTTGAGAACTGATTCTAAAGTGTAAGCTGAGCTGATTATTATGTTCTTTCAGCAATCAAAACATTGCCAAAAGTCTGGTCATTCTTTCCATTAAGGTATATATGGGTATTAATCCTCTTGTTAAGTCTAGTCAAATACTGCATAGACTGTCTAACCCTCCAACGGGGACAGCAGAACTTAATTGGCATTCTATGCAGGAAAAGGTTCATTAAGAAGCTTTATTTCAAGCAAGATTTCATATAGATCACATAGTTCTAAACCAGATTCATAAAACAAGGTAACAAAGGCCTTGCCTGGGCATCAAAGGGGCATCTCAACCATTTATTTTCCATCAAAAGGAGCAAAGCATAAGTGGCAAACAGCAGTAACATAGTACTCTACTAAAATACCACATTCCAGCCCTGCTGCTTTATGGAGGTCTATTTGGGAACTGTGCTGGTGTAGGCTGTAGGGAGTTGAACTGTTAACCCAATGGTGATGCCTCTCTGCTGGCTCAAATCCACAAGTGACTCAAAGGAAGAAAGGAAGACAGTCTTCTCCCAGAAAATTTAGAGCCTCCAAAGCCCACTTGTAAGGTCAGCTAGGAGCTGGTTGGACTTAGTGGCAAGGAGTGACTGAGGGACTTTTTCTAATTTGTTTTCCTTTTCAACAACAACATAGAGAATCTGAAAGAAATTATTTTAAAATGGTATTTCCATAATCTAATTTTACACATCTTTAGAAAATAGTAAAATACTTGTAAAATTAGCTAGAATTTTGGTAACAGTAGCCAGTTTTCCAGATAAAATCAGTTTAAATTTTCATACTCAATTTCAGTGCTTTTCTTTTTTATTCCACTCTCTTCTCTAAGAAGCAAATCAAAAGCTGAATGATAAAGTAGGAATGCAGCAGCAGACATTTAAAAAAACCCTTTGATGTTTTTTACACAAGCTCTTAGATAACTGGCACAGGTTTCATATAATGCAAGATCATTTTCTCTGGACTGAGAAAACCAGAAAAGATAATAGAGGGATGGACAGAAAAGAGATAAGAATATTAAGAGTGGATA